CCTCTGCCTCTGCTTTATGCCGAATAGCCATCCTCGTTGATGATGATTCCCACGCATCCACCATCGAAGCCACATCCACGATGTCTGTTGCTTCGTCCAGGCCAAGCACGTCAACACAGAACTTGCGCATCCCAGCGCGATCGTCAGCCACCGTGCTGAGCCGGCTGATCGTCCTCACCTTTGCAACCGCCAGCTTCGCCTGGATCGTCTCGTTCACTTCTTTGATCTGCAGCAGCCCATGTAGATCTGCGTCCAGCAGGCTAATCGCATTGGCCCGCCGCACCGCCGTGTCGTGGCCTATGTCCAGCGCAGGTGCAGCGCCCGCTCCGCCGCCAGCCGCCATGGCCGCGTCCGGCCCTCGCGAGGGATCAGGCGCAACCCCCGCGAGATAGAGCAGCCGTGCCTCACGGCTCTCGGAGCCACATCATAGTTGCAGGTTTCAAAGCACATGCCTGCAGGGTGCTTCCGATCCATGCGAGACGAACGAAGGCCGATCGAACGAAAGCCAACCTCCTACCCACATCAAGCAACGACTCTCATCTCGAATCCCCTCAACTCGAACAACCGGCAAATCAAACTTCTTCCGATCATCCCTTTACCAATGCACGGCACTCGACCCGGACGTTTCTGCCGCACACCATTCTGTGCAGTTTCAGGTCCCTGCAAGGAGAGTTGTAGGATTCTCCCCCTGCGGCTTTCTCCTCCGACCCATTGGAGTCTGACGATGTGATATCCCCGGAGCTCTCTTCTTCCGGGGACCCAGGCTTTGCCATGGCGTCTTTGCCAAAACAATTCTTACATGCCCGATGATATTTGATCGGGTCTGGTGGTTCATCACCTAGCATCTCGAAATGGGCGTAATGCACGCCTGGTTGTCGGTGGCATTCGCCAACCCGATGCAAGGTCCGCGTTTGCGAACGACCCACGATCGACACCACGAAGGTGCCTGCAATGGCTTCGGCCTGTACAACCTCACTGGATTCGCCGATCACCAAGTCCTCTTCAGACTCGAAGCCACCCTCGCCCTGGTCGCCCTCTTGGAGCACCTCCACCTCGTCCTCGTTCGGCTCGAGCAGGACCACAGGTCCCGTGGGTGTCCACTTCGGCCTCCAGCTGGGGTCGAGGTCCCCGGCCATCGCATCGAACGACTCCAGCATCTTGTGCTGCTCGACCACTGCATCCTCCGGATAGCCCAACTGCTCCATCTTCTGCTGCACAACCTCGATCACCAAGCTCTCATCAAAGGGGTCTCCTCGACCAAGGTTGTCCCTGATGAAGGCCCCAATCACCCGTTGCGCACGCAAGATGTTGGCCCTTGCTGCTCTCTCATAGCCTTCATCAGCCGAAGGTCTCCACCTGCCCAGCTGTTTCCTGATGTCTGGCGGTACTCTCGCCGCCTGCGACCACGTTCTCAAGGTCGCTCGTTCGCTGTGTTCGGTCCACACAGTGCCAACACCATCGAAGAGCAGAGTCTCCTTCCTGCCGTCCACGGTCTTCCACAGCTCCCCGAACAATGCTTGGGACATAGCCGAGGATGTAGAATAGTCCGCCATCCTCCGCACGAATGCATTCCCCTGCGCATTCGGCCACGGCAACATAAAATCTCTGGTGAGGATGCCGGCCTCCATGCCCATCTGATTCCATAGGCGCCATCCCACCGTGAGCCAGTTGTGATGCGCCACCCATGCCTCCTTCGAGACGTAGAACGGTAGCAGAAGGACTTTCTTCCCCGGGCCCGATGTCTTGGACTTGTGGATCACTCCCATCAGGTGCGTGTCCTTCAACTCCATGGATCTATTGGGCGTGCCGCGGGTGTCATCAAACCTCATGCCGGCCCACAGCTTGACAAGCCTAAACCAGGCGTGTGCCCTGGAGATCGGCTTGTTCGCCTCACTCAACACCATCTCCTCCATGGCCGCCACAATCGCCACTGGCAGGACGCGGGCCTGGCTGGACGGCCTCATCTCCACCGTGGCCAATCTCATGTTGGCCTCCTCAATCGCATTCTTCAATGAAGCCGCCCGGTGCATCTGCTTCGCTTCCTCCACTTCTCCGGCGAACTCCAGGTACATGAACGTCTTGTAGATCGCCTCAGGCGTAGACCGTGCACAAGGCTCTTGCACTATGGCTTCAATGTACTCGGCCAGCTCCTCGGGCGAAGACGGCCAGGACCTTCCATATGTCGAGCGAAGCCACACTGAGACTTTGTTCCACGTTTTGACATGCTTTCTCAGTGTGTTCGGGCGCCTGCCCTTAGCTATCCTCAGCATCAGCGAATCCTCCGAAGATCTCAAAGCCACCGGAAGCTTGGCGTCCTTCATGATGATCCTCAGTTCACTGAGCCACCTGTCGCGCTCCACCTTCTCGGCTTGCTCCCTCAAAGCCAGGTCCGACCCGGCCAGATGCAGCCTCTTCCCGAGTCGTGTCGGCCACTTGACCCGCTTCGCGGTGCCAACCATGGAGATCTTCTCGACCAACTCCGCCTCCTCCAAGTCGATGAAGGCCCTTCGTCTCTTCTCCCTCTGGTGCTGCAGGTGAGCCTCCAGCAGCTCTTGAGAGCCTCTGCCTGCATCCGCCCGGTGGATGTTCACCGAGCGTTTATCACATTGCTCGATCATCTCCTTCAGGGTCTTGGCATCGGCCTGGAAGCTCTCCCTCTTACGCTTGGCTGAGCTCACCACCTCATCAAGCACCTGAGGTCGGCAGCCTCGCAGTGTCGCGAGCTTCGTAGCAGTCCAGCCCAGCTCAGCCAGCGTGCTGACCTCGGGCTCGGTCAGCCCTGCCAGCACACCGCACAAGCTCAGCTCGTGCAGTGCGTCCATCGCGGCGCAGCTGGTTCCCCCCAACCTGAGAAAATGGGAGGCCTGAGCCGTGACTTCACGGAGATTTCGTGACGATCCCCATGATGCTCATGAGTCACCATATACATAAATATAGATACACCGTGGAAAACTAACGTATTCAAAAATAATTGAATACGTTTAAATAGCTGCAGAAACGATTTCGAGGGTCTATACCATGTCAATGAGATCTGGAGGAAAAAAGTGAAAAGCAGGCACCCAGGATCCAACTTGAAGAACAAACAAACGAAGAACTTTTCAGATTTTGCAAAAACGCTAACGTGGCACCTGTGAAGGCCAAACATGAATCTCTTCTCAGGTTCCATGTTAACATATATTGCTTTTCAAGGAGTTGGGCCAACGGGCCTCTCGCAAGGTCGAAGGTTCGACTACTACTGGCCAGTTCAGATCTACGTTAAATTTCTTTGATACCATGAGCCCCTGCAACCCCTGAATCCACTTTTCCCCAGTAACTTAAACATAGAGCATACCCACGTTTAATACCTATATTGGTTGTTCATGAGTGTAGGGCTATTCCCTCTATATGAAATGCATCAACCAAACACTCATATATAAAAGGCTAATTATGCTGTGAATGCCCATGCACCGCCTCCCGCCGTGGCGCTGCAGGTTCTGCGCTTCTGCAGGTTCTGCGCTTCTGCAGGTTCTGCGCTTCGGCCGACGGATGGATGGACAGATGGGGCGATTCAGACCAGGGTGACAGGTGACAAAGACGAATCCGGCATCAATTTGGGGGGATCCCTTTTGCTCAAGATCACGCAACAGCTGACAATTGGATTGTCAGTCTTCCCATCACCATGATATCTTTGGGTCAGGGTTCTCAAGGGGGACAAGGCGAACAGCGCAGCGGCCTGAGGACGAGAAGCTGCTCAGGGTGCCATGGCGCGAACCGTGGGACACAGGACGGTTCGTGGGACCCACGGAGAGCTGGCGACCCGCGGAGCTGGCTGAGCTGCTGAGTAGACACCCAAACACCTAACATGGACCCGGGTGGAATGACACCCTGAAAGACTGTTTTCCTCTACAACCAGTGGCTTTCAGGTTCCATGTGAACCTTCCAGGGTGTTAAAGCCGATCTCCAATAATCGTTCTGCCCCGACTTTTCAGGCCTTTTCACCGGTTTCCTCCATCACAG